AAAAAAGGGATCAGAAAATAATGTTCAAGAAACCACATGTGCCCGCGTGTGGTAGCTCCTACCTGTAATCCTACGGATCACCTGAGGTCAGGAGTTTGAGACCAGCCTGGCCAACATCGAGAAACCCAGTCTCTACTAAGAACACAAAAATTATCCAGGCATGGTGGTATGCACCTATAGTCCCAGCTACCTGGGAGGCTGAGGCGGAAAATTGCTTGAACCTGGGAGGCAGAGGCTGCAGTGAGCTGAGATCGCACCACTGCACTACAGCCTGAGTGACAGAGCAAGACTCTGTCTCAAAAAAAAATAAACCACGCATGACCCGTAAAGCCTAGAGTATTTAAATAAAATAACTATTTATTTATCCGGGTCCTTTACAGAAAAGGCTTGCCAACTCAAGGACCTCATAACTCCTAAGTTGCCTGTTTACTAAAGCTTAATAACAGACTTGTACCAGGAAGGCTATTTGAAAGAAGACATATACCCTAAGTGCATGCAAAAAAAAAAAAAAAAAAAAAAAAAAAAAAAAAAAAAAAAAAAAAAAAAAAAAAAAAAAAAAAAAACTCTTTACATAAAAATTATTGTAAATTTCTTTTTTACAATACACAAGTCACAAGCAAAGTACCATTCTATTCATTGGTTATAAAGTAAATCTCTTCTATGGCAAGGCTTGAAATATATGCAGATCATAAACATCAAGTTCAAGATAATGGTTAACTGTGGGCAGAGGAAAAGGAATGGAGAGGGGAAAGAGGGGGCTCCAGCAATGATTGTTTTGTTTCTTAATCTGAGTTATAAACACAAATGTTTATTACATTATTCTTAATAACTTTTTCTAAGTCTGAAATATTTTGTAACTAATATTAAAAAAAGAAACCAAATAAAGGCACACGGAAAAGGTAATATTGCCTGGTTTTATTAAACAATCAAAATAATTTTAAAATTTGCACTTGTTATATGCACTGCATTTTTAAATAAAAATCTTCAAAACAAGCAAGAGGCCCAGATTACAGCTGGTAAGTGTCACTGGCCAGATTTAGGATTGCTACCAAATCTCCTTTCTTGCACCTAGTTTAGAAACGTTTACACAAAAGTTGCAACAGCAACTATTAACAACAGCCACAAAAACAGACACACAAAACACACATACTCAGTAAACTGTGGAGAGCCTCTAAAAAGTTGAATAAATCAATTCTAACTAAGCAACAGTTTCTAGCTCATTTTAAAATTAAGAAGTTATTTGGAAACCAGTCAGGGGAGAGCCGAACACCCCTCCACATCCCCTTATCACGAAAAATCCGTTAATTTGGTCTATGAATAAACAGGCAGATGAAAAGGAAAACTGCAGCACAATCAGAAATTTACACTAGCTTAAATTGCCTTGATCTTTTATAAACTCACTTTATAACTTAATGTTTACTTGTTTAGTAGGGATGAAGAAAATATTGCATCTAGAATAAAGATAATAAGTGATTGATTGCTTTTCAGAGGTGATAATACCAACGTAAGGGCTAAACCATCTGCAAAACAGGTATTCAGTCTTAATTCCAAACTGACAAACTCCACGAAGTAGCATACAAAAGTGACACCTAAATCTTTATTGACTATAGTTTAAAATAAGAACGCACTTTTCAGTATGGAACAGTGATCAAATCAAACATCCTATTTTCTCCTGAAAATCAGAAACACACAACAACCGGGGGTCATTTTTATTGAATAGAACGCGGACAACAAAGAAACTGGGACCCTCAGGAAATGCAAACAAAATCCCTCTCCCTGAACCGCCCAGGAGGAGGCCCAGCAGCAAAGCCCCGGGGCTCGGAATCCTGTCAGCCCTCTCCCTACCTGCATCTCACCACCACCTGGATGTTCTTCCCCTTCTCCTCTTTCTTCTTCGCAGACGAATTTGGCTGCGACGCCATGACGGGTCCCTGCCAAAAAATCAACGCCTGGCCGCAGCCTTGGGCGCCGTGGGGCGCTTAGGGGCTTGGCGGCAGACGGGAGCCTGAGTCTCCCTGGCCCGTGCTGGGCACCGGCGTGGCCTGGAGGATTGACGCGCGCACCTCGGCGTCCCCGCTCTCCACCCGGTACTCTGGCCGTGGCGTTGGTCCCGCACCAGCCAGTGCCACCAAATCACCAATCTCGTCTCCGCCCAAAGTCCCAGAAACCGAGAAACGCCTCGGCGCCTCAATTTGAAAAAGGGGCCGAGTAGCCAGACCAATGGCTGCGCGGGCGCGCAAGGCACCATGGGACCTAGTGTCCCGACCGGAGCCCCGCCCTCAGGGCGTGACCGCCAGTAACGTAAAGAGCTGGTCTGTCAGCTCGCTCCGGAACTCAGTAGCCCAGAGCCTAGACGCAGGAGAGGAGCAGTGTGGAACTTCAGCGTGCCGTGGCTCAACTTACATGACGTCTCCAGCCCAAAATTCCCTCATCTGCAGAGAGGAAATACTAGTAACCACCTCAGAGGGTTATGGGGAGAATAAATGAGCTTATGCAAGTAAATAGATTGGAATATATGGTAAGCGCTCTCCATGATTATACTTATTAGAGAATTGTAAGAGGGCAATGGAAGCACAGAAGAGAAGCGAGCTGCCTTCCCGGAGGCAGAGACCAAAATAGCCTTTTTTTTTTTTTTTTTTGAGACGGAGTCGACCGGGCGTAGTGTCTCACGCCTGTAATCCAAGCACTTTGGAGGCCAAGGCGGGCGGATCACGTGAGGTCGGGAATTCAAGACCAGCCTGACCAACATGGTGAAACCCTGTCTTTAAAAAAAAAAAAATTAAAGAGACAGAGTCTCGTTCTTGTCACTCAGACTGGAGTGCAGCGGCGCGATCTCAGCTTACTGCAACCTCCGCCTCCCTCAGCCGCCGGGTAGCTGGGATTACAGGTGCATGCCACCACGCCTGGCTATGTTGTATTTTTAGTAGAGATGTGGTTTCTCCATGTTGGCCAGGTTGGTCTCGAACTCCTGACCTCAGATGATCCCCGCCCCCACCCCCACGCCCGCCTCGGCCTCCCAAAGTGCTGGGATTACGGGCGTGAGCCACCCCGCCCGGCCCAGAATAGTCTTGAAGAATTATTAGTGTTGGGCTCGGTGGCTCACGCCTGTAATCCCAACACTTTAACAGGCCGAGGTAGGAGGATGCTTGAGGCCAGAAGTTTGAGACCAGACTGGGCGACATAAGGGGAACCCCACCACCACCGCCGCTAACACACATGCATCTCTACACACACACACACACACACACACACACACACACACAAAATGTGGGGGAAAATAGCCAGATGTGGTGCGTGCCTGTTCTCCCAGCTACTCACGAGGCTGAGGCAGAAGGAACGCTGAACACAGGAGATCAAGGCTGCAGTGAGCCGGGATTATGCCACTAGATTATTCCAGCCTAGGCAACAGAGCAATAACCTTTCTCAAAAAAAGAAAAAGAGTAATTAGGAAATGTTAAGAGATAAGACTACTACAGGTTTCAAATCGTGATGAAATGGACACCGAATGCCATTTGGAGGACTCTAAGTCATCATCAATAAAGCGACTCCAAGCAAGAAAGCAAGGTCCGCCCAGATTTTAGAACGACTGCACTGATCGACTGAAGTCACCGGCAAGCTCCGCCTTTCCGCGCCGCGCAGCGGGCGGTCGCGTCTCAAGAAGGCTGAGCAAAAGTCAGCTGCCCCGGCCTACAAATCCCAGCATGCAGCGCTCGCTGGGGCCTGCGCGCCCTCTGCCACCTCCCGCCTGCTGCAGGCGAACTTTTCGGCGTCTTCGCGGTGCCTGGCGTGACTCGACTGCTGTAGATGTGGGACGCCCTACCGGGAAATACTGAAACAGAAGGCTATGCCGCAGTCGGTCCTTGCAACTGCGCTTCTGGGCCACACAACCCATGGGAACCTATTAAGTAACAAACCGGTGCAGTGGAAAGCTCTTACGTCCTTTTGTGTTCCTCCACTTACTAATACCCTACATGCACCCCGCCCCAAGGAAATATCTACATCTACAGCGCCTTCCGCTGGTCAACTCTATTTTGCGTAGCCAGCTATCTATTGATATCTCCTCTTAGGTGGCTCCCTGGCATTTCAAAATGGAACCTATCCCAGACTGAACTCTTATCTTCTTACCTCCACCTTTATCTTTCTTATCTAGACACTGGTGCTAACCAGAACCTCTGATTTTCCATGTGTAGTGGAGTGCTGTTGATTTTATCTCCCCTGCGATCACCCTAGTCCTAGGCTCTTACCTCTTACCCGTACTACTGTCATCCACCTCCTTAACAAGACTCTCTTAACGCTCTTTTCTCCTCCTCCCGACCCCTCTACTACATTTACTCAGCAAGGGAAATGTCTTTTAAGAAAATAAGACCATGCTCTTCATCTGCTTTTTAATCTTACACTAGCTTCTCATTTGTATTTGGAATGAAATCCAAACTCTTTACCATCCCCTGGAGGGTCCTCATGATCTGGCCGTTGTCCATACCATCAACTAAAGGCACTTGCCAAAAATCTCATTACCATGCTTCAGAGCTCCTATCTTTTTCCTGTGGCCAGGCCCTTGCCCTGAACTCTGTTTGGCTCTTTGCATGGCTTACCCATTCTCATTTTTCAGCTCTCAGTGGAAATTTCTCTTTTAAAAAGAGCTTTCCTGACCACCCTAATAAAGCACATTCCTCATAATTTCCTTTTTCTTTTTCTTTTTTTTGAGACAGTGTCTCGCTCTGTCCCCCATGCTGAAATGCGGTGGTGGGATCTCAGCTCACTGCAACCTCCGCCTCCTGGGTTCAAGGGTTTCTTGTGCCTCAGCCTCCTGAGTAGGTGGGGTTACAGGCACCCCACTATGCCCAGCTAATTTTTTGTATTTTTAGTAGAGACTGGGTTTTAGGATGTTGGCCAGGCTGGTCTCAAACTCCCGACCTCAAGTAATCCGCCCTTCTCAGCCTCCCAAAGTGCTGGGATTAGAGACATGAGCCACCATACCTAGCCTTCCTCTTACAATTTTCTATCTCAGAACCCTGTCTATTTTCTTCATAACACTACAGTCTGTAATTACATTGTTAATATATCGTGTGTCTCTATGGATAGAATGTAAGTTTCATTAGGGACCCAGTCTTTTTGTTCAGTATTATTTTCCCAGTGTCTTGAACAGAGCCTTACACAAAGTAAGGCTTTACTCAATAAATATACATTGAGTATCTGAAGGAAATTACTAAACCTCCATCAGCTTTGGTTTCCTCACCTGTAAAATGGAGATAATAATTATTGTGAGAACTAAAATAACATATATAAAGTGCCTGGGATATAATAGGAAAAAAATCTTAATTTCTTCTTTTTTTTTTTGAGACGGAGTCTCACTCTGTTGCCCAGGCTGGAGTGCAGTGGCGTGATATTGGCTCACTGCAGCCTCCACCTCCTGGGTTCAGGCAATTCTTCTGCCTCAGCCTCCCAAGTGGCTGGGACTACAGGTGCGTGCCACCACGCCCGGCTAATTTTTTTTTTTTTTTTTTTTGTAGTAGAGACCGGGTTTCACCATCTTGGCCAGGCTGATCTCGGACGCCTGACCTCATGATCCACCCACCTCAGCCTCCCAAAGTGCTGGGATTACAGGCGTGAGCCACTGTGCCTGGACTAATTTCTTTTCTTTCATTTTGTTTGTTTTTTTTGAGTCAGGGTCTCACTCTGTCACCAAGGCTGCAGTACATTGCACCATCATGGCTTACTGAAGCCTGAACCTCCTGGGCCCAAGGGATCCTCCCATCTCAGCCTCCTGAGTAGCTGGTACTGTAGGCACAAACCACTACTAGACCTGGCTAATTTTGTTTTCCTTTGATAGAAATGGGAGTCTCCCTATGTTGCCTAGGCTGGTCATGAACTCCTGGCCTCAAGTAATTCTCCCACCTCAGCCTCCCAAAGTGCTGGTATTACAGGTGCTGGGCCTTTTTCCTTTCTCTTTAGTAAATATCCAAACAATATTTACATTAACAGTCAAATAGGTTGACACAAGAAATTCAAGAGTCTCCAGTTGATAATAGATATAGCTACCATTTATCTAGGGTTTACAATGAGTCAAACTCCATGCTAAAGGCTTTGTGTGCATCATCTTATTTAATCTTCAGAACAACTTTCCAAAATAAAACTATTATTTTCCACTACTTTATCAGCAAACTGGACAAATAAGTTTGTCTGTAGTCATACAGCATATGACCGGTCATACTTAAACTTTTTTTTTTTTTTTTTTTTTTTTTGAGATAGAGTCTGGCTCTGTCATCCAGGCTGGAGTGTAATGGCCTGATCTTGGCTCACTGCAACCTCCGCCTCCTGGGTTTAAGCTGCCTCGGCCTCCCAAAAGCCCGGATTACAGGAGCCCACCACCACACCTGGCTAATTTTTCTATTTTTAGTAGAGATGGGGTTTCACCATCTTGGCCAGGCTGGTCTTGAACTCCTGACCACTTGATCTACTTGCCTTGCCCTCCTAAAGTGCTGGGGTTACAGGTGTGAGCCACAGTGCCCGGCCCCTACTTAAACTTTAATCATAGTATAAGATTAAGTATTGGGGAAGGAACGTAGAATTCTTTCCCATTCTGGCTCGGTGGCTCACGCCTGTAATCCCAGCACTTTGGGAGACCAAGGCGGGTGGATCACCTGAGGTCAGGAGTTTGAAACCAGCCTGCCCAACAAGGTGAAACCCCATCTCTACTAAAAACATAAAAATTAGCTGGGTGTGGTGGCAGGTGCCTGTAATCCCAGCTATTCAGGAGGCTGAGACAGAAGTGCTTGAACCCAGGAGGTGGAGGTTGCAGTGAGCCGAAATCGTGCCACTGCACTCTAGCCCAGGCAACAGAGTGAGACTCCATCTCAAAAAAAAAAAAAAAAAAAAACTTTCTCATTCCAAGTTCTCTTAACTACTGTCTTTCCCATGGAATTTTTTCATTTGCTAAGTGCACGTGAATCCACTTTTATCATACTCTTTTTGAAGTGCTTACTGTGTGCCTGGCAATGAATACACAGGCTGAATTATTGTACTTGCCCTCAGGGCTAAGTCTAATAGACAGAGCCCAGGGTCTTATGGCCATGTGCAAGTGTTGTGTTGCACCAAGCAGGTCCCTGAAATGTCACTTTACATTGCCTTTGTTGAGTTCAAACTACTCGGTCTAATAATCAACATTTCTCCGCTGAGCATGGTGGCTCACACCTGTAATCCCAGCACTTTGGGAGGGCAAAGCGGGTGGATCACCTGACA